CATAGATAAAATGTGAATCCATCTCCCTGCATTCTCCTATTTAAGGGAAAAGAGGTCGCAGTCAGTCCGGGCGCAGTGGATGACTCGCTCTCCTGATACCGCTGTTGGAAAGCAGGAGCGGCTTCGGTAGCGCTCAGCAGTGGTGGACAGTGAGCAGCTGATGTGCTCATCTGGCTGCTTTCTGCTGTCATCTGCTCTTCGCTTTGTTAGCACCACCTATTTTTAATGTCCTTCACAAGGGACAGCATGACTCAGGAGATATTTGATACTGTAGGAATTGCTAGCTTTTTAATTTTTTCTGCTGTCACCCATATATTTATTTTGAAGAGGTTTTTTTCTATTTGTTTTTGTTCTTTTCTTATAGCCCACACAAATCAGCCAGCTCCGTGTGAAGCTGGATTGAGTGGCCTGCCATTCACTGTCTTTCGGTAGAATATTATTTTTCCAGCAGTTCTCAAAGGAGAACTTTTTAAGTCCTTGGGAAGAAAATCTTGTCCTCCATGCCAAGTCTTTGCATAGCTTGATAGTCTTGTGAATTTGTGATTTCCTTCAGATTAGGGATATGTTGTTATCTCCGTAAGGTTGAAGCTTTTCCCTCTCTTTTTTGTTTTTTTGGGACAGGGTCTTCCTGTCTAATCCAGGCTGGCCTCAGAATCACAGTATTCTTCTGCCTCAGCCTCCCAAGTGCTGGGATTACAAATGTGCACCACCATGCCCAGCAGTTTCTCATATTTTTTTGAGACTGACTCTCACTGTGTAGGCCAGAGTGGCCTTCAGCTCACAGCGGTCTTCCTGCTTCTGCGTCTCCTGTGCTAGGCTTACAGTCATGCACTACTGTGCCCAGCCTTCGCTTCTCACTTTTGATGCAAGGAAATGGAAGCATATCACTCAGGAGGGTGAGATAGGAGGATAGATGCAGGTTGTTATAGCCAGCCTGAGTTATAGGGTGAGTTCAAGGATAGTCTAGATTGTGTCCCAAGGCTTTGTTTCAGAAAGCAGGAAACAAAACCCAAAACAAAACAAGATATGTCCGTGAGTCTACTGTTGGCTGAAAGAACACGCAGTGAGATTTCTCTGTATTCTGGAGGATACTCCATTGTGTGGTAGGCACATGATGATCTGTGTCTGACAAGTCAGTTGGTAAATCTGTGGGTTTTTGTGGATTCTGCATCAGCCACTGCCCTGTCAAGTGCTGTTTTGGTGGCTGCCGCTGTGCTGCATGCTGCCCCAGTGCGTGGAGCACGGTCAGATGACGGGATGTTCAGCGTCTGTGCTGTCCCAGTGGGTCCTATGTTCCTGTGGAAACAGGGTTAGTGCAAATGAAGAGCTGAAGTTTTCATTTAATTTTGATTGTTACATATACATTTATAATTTTAGTGCATATAATAGTTGATTTCCTTTTTGCTTAATATATAGTGAAATATTTATTGGCTGTTAAAATTATAAATCATGATTTGCTCATTTATCCCATCCATTTAGAAGTTGGTGTATTTGGTATGTTTCAGACATGAGGGTTATAGAAATAATATTTTAGAGGAATTTTGTCAAGATTAATTTTAGGCCCATGGTGTTTCTGTTAAATTGTTTTCAATTTTAGATTGAACATAGTCTCTAATTGACTAACAATTATGTTACATTATGGAATAATTACATGTAAAGACTGAATTGTTTTCATTTGTGCTAGGAATTCATAAGAGGTAGGTAAAAGCTGATGTCATGGTCCTGTCTCATTATTCTTTTTTTTTTTTTTTTGGCAGAACCGGGGATTGAACTCAGGTCCTTGTGCTTGCCAGGGAAGCCCTTATTCCACTGAGCCATCTCCGTGGCCCTGTCTCATTATTCTTGACCCCCTGAAAATAACATATAATCAGTTCCAGGCTATTAATCATACTCCTTGCCCTGCCTCATCCTAATTAACTTAGTCTGGATACAGTGGCACATGCTTATAAACTCAGCTACTTGAGAGGCTGAGGCAGGACACTTGCAGTTTCAAGGCCTCCTGGGCAATTAGTGAGATTTTGTCTCAAAAGAAAAACATTCGAAATCATAAGTAAAGACTTCTGAATAGGACTTGAGCAGCACAGGAAATATGAGAAATAACAAATGGGTCTACATCAAATCAAGAGCTTCTGTACTACAGAAGAAATACTCAGAGTGAGGAGTCAATCTACAAAATAGGGGAAAATCTTTGAAAGCTAGTCTTTTTAAAATACAAGATTAGTATTGAAAAATACATTAAGGACTCATAAAATTTAATACACACATGCACAAATTTAAACTAATAACCCAGCCAACAAATTAAAGACAAATGAATAGACAGTCTCAACAGAACTACAGGTGGCTAATATGTATATGAAGCAATTTTTAGCATCCCCAGCCATTAAGGAAATGCAAATCAAAACTACACTGAGATTTTGTGTCATCCCAGTCAGATTGGCTGTACAAATAGCCAGGTGTGGAGATGCATACCTGTAATGCTAGCATTCAGTAGGCTGAGGCAGGAAGATGGCCTGAGTTTGAGGCTGCATAGTGAGTTCAAGATCAGCCTGAATTACAGAGTGAAACTGCAAGTTAAAAGAAAAACAAAACAAAACAAAACAAAACAAAACAAAAAACAAAACAAAAACAAAAACGGTAAATCAAACAAAATATACATGCATAAATATTCCTGAGAGTGTGGGAAGAAGGCACCCTTCTATGTTGTTGGTGGGGATGTAAACTACTACAACCAAAATGGAAATTAGAGCAAAGATTCTTAAGAAACCCCTTATAGAGTTTCCACTTCATTGGGCTGTACTACTCATTGCTATATCCCAAAAGAATTAGTCAGCACACTGTGGGGACACCTGCAAATTCTTATTTCTTGCTGCACAGGTCAAATAGCTAAACTCTAGATGCCTGTGAACAGATGAATGGGTAGAGCCACCAGGACTTCTTTTTTTTTTTTTTTTTTCTTTTTTGGTGGAACTGGGGATTGAACTCAGGCCCTTGCACTTGCCAGGCAAGTGCTTATTCTACTGAACCATCTCCCCAGCTGAATGGGTAGAGAGACTGAAAAAAAATAGGTAATAGTGGGGTGTTAGCCATGAAGAACAAAGCCCTGTTGCTCACAGGAAAATGGGTGGAACTAGAGTCCAGCAAAATAAGGCAGACTCAGAAAGTTAAATGTTGCATGTTTTCTCTCTATATAAGGCATCTTTAAAAACAAGAGATTATAGGAAAATAAATGAATAGAGAACAGTGCTTGTCAGAAGCTAGGGAGAAAAGGGGACAGGCTGATGTGTGGGTCCTGCCTGCAGGGAGGGGAGACACGATGCGTGTTGCACAGCAGCGAGACTGTGGGAAGCAGTGGTGTGGTTGTATTTTAAAGGCTGGATGAAAGGACCCTGAGCAGTGTACCCTAAATAAATGACAGACGTTTGAGGAGATGTGCTGAACCTGGTTTAAGCACTGTACAAGGCATATACGTATGGGCATTCTGTGGTGCCCAATTAATAAGAATAATTTTTAAGTTATTTTGATACTAGTTTAAGTAAGTTAAACTTTTAAGAAAGAAAGAAAGGGTTAAAATCAGTGATGCAGGTTGCCACATTAAACTGAATACAAAACAAACCCAAAATGAAGTAACAGGAAGAAAATAAGGATGAAGTAGAAATAATAGACTAGTAGATGTGGAGAAAATTAACAGCACTTTTGTACTCCTTCTAACTTGTTAGCTTACAAGGATGAAAAGTTTTTAGTAAAAAATATAGTACTTTAAAAATTACAAGGACTTCATTTATAGGAGAGGAGAGGATTAAATTAAGTTTAGTAATTATTATTAATTTTTTTGAGACAGGGTCTTGCTATGTAGTTCAGGCTGGCCTTGAACTCACGATGTACTATAGGCCAGCCTCAAACTCATGTCAATCTTTCTGCCACAGCCTGCCAAGTGGTGGGATTAGAGGTTGCACCACCACACCCAGGCCAAAAATATTTTTATAACAAAGCTTCAGTTGCCTCAAATTCAAATTTACCCCAGTGTTCTGATATGCATGCTTTAGAAAATAATTTAACCTGTGGTTGGGGAGAATGTACAAGCATTTTATAAGCCCATGAAAGGCTATTAAAGTTGAAGAATGGAATTTAGTTTTAAAACATTCAATGGTAAGCTTGTGTGCATCTCATTGAAAAGATGTGTGTTTAGGATGGTGAGGTGTGATCAGCTCTTGAGAGCTTCTGTAATTTTACAGGACTGAGAAAAATGAATATGTAAATTGAATTATTTTCTTACAGGTTTGTTGACAAGAAGGAAAGGTTAAGCCAGCTTAAGAGCAAGCAAGAAGAATTTCAAAAAGAGTAAGTTTTTTTTGCATTTTAATTTGTGGAGGCTGCCACAACTTGGTGTAATGCACGCATGGTGCGCAGATACAATACAGCAATACCAGGGATCCTGAACGCTTGTTTGAGAACTCCACACGGAGTGTCATTCAGTCTGATGGGGAAATTTGATTTGGTTCACAAGCAGAATCATGGGATGAAGGGATGAATGAAGCTTGTTGAGGTGCCACTGTGTATGGATTGTAAGTCACTGAGCTTAGCTACAGTCTCATTGAGTGTGGGAAAGGAGTACATGTGAGAGAGGTGCCACAGAAGAGAGTGTCCAGCTTCCGAAAGCACTGACCTCAGACTTGGTGTCTAGTAGACAGTAGCACTCACTGAGTGTAATCAGGGCTGCTGGTCCTGGTCATTGCTTGGCAAATAGGCCCAACAGTGGGCTTGATTAAATTGAAAGTAATGCTAGTGGCCCCAACTTTGATTTACCTTGTCCTTTCTATGTCAGGGTTTGCAAAGCATGGTCTACAAACAACTGTATCCAAATCCACTCACTGAAGCACTGCTGGAAAGTGCAACATCTTGTGATTCTTCCTTATGCTTTCTTCACTCCGGTGTTGGCGGTGGCCAGGGAATCTGAATTGTTAATGAGTGCCTGATGAGTCAGCCCATAGATTTGAGAATTGTCCTGCAGAACTTTCTGCTTCACACTGACCCAGTGAGTTTCCACAGATAGAGACTGGGAGTTTACCTCTCCAGGCCTTGGTGTGCAGTGGCCTGCCTCAGTGCTTTCTCCTTCCACTGTCTGTCTCTTGCTGGCGATTACGGTGGGTGTCTTTGCCAGAGAATTCTAAAGTGGAGTCTGAAGTTTTAGGAGAGGCTTTCATGCCTAATAAACACATCAATGAGCAGAGTAGGTCTTCTGAAATTCTGCTTTAGAGAGAAATTTATTTAACTCAGCCGTTTCTCTAGGTGACTTAATCACAGAAACTTTTCTCCCCCATAGAGCACTTTATTCCATAAAATGTTCAGTAAGATAAATTCTCAGACGTGCTGCTCTTCCTGTGTCTTGGGGGGCTAACCACACTATTTTAGACCTTGAATTCTCATGTAGCAGTTGTTATGAACTGTGGCCGAGGGAATTCTGAGGACAAGGCCAGGCGTTGATGGAAGTTCATTGTAGATGTGTACAAAGGCTGTGGGCAGTATCAGTAGAGCAAGGGGAAGGAAATGAGGAATTGCAGAGTGGAGAATTTGGGAGACACTTGTCATGGTAAGCCCCTTAGCTGCTTCTAAGTACTTACTTTAAATAGTTTATTTGGTTTTTGAGTTTCACAAAACTTTATCAGTTTTAAGAGCTTATTATCTGTGTATTCCTTCCCCCCACCCCCAGAGTATTAAGAGCTATGGAAGGAAAATGGATAACAGATCAACTGGTAAGTTCTAAGAAGTATTTGTTATATTCTTTATACTTGGTGCTGCATGCTTTTAAGTTGTTAGAGCTTAAATCATTTTGAATTTAAATTTAGTTTTGAAAACCAAGTTTGGTGGTGCACACCTGTGATTCTAGTTCTTGGGAGCCTGAGGTAGGAGGATCACCACAAGTGTGAGGACATTGTGGGCTACATAGAATTCAAGGCTGGCCTGAATTACACAGTGAGACCCTGTTAAAAAACAAATAAAACAAAACAAAAACCAATCATTTTCATAGTAAATAGATTTGCAGTACAGCTTTTTCATGTATTTCTCTTAGATACCAAAACTGGGGCATAGGCAGTTTATTTTGGAGCCATCGTAAAGGATAATTATAAATCTAGTATTGATACAAAATTAGAAAAGCAACAGGCCATCCTTTTAGCAAAAATTATTCATAGTAAATACATTACACAAAGGTTAATGATCAAATAAACTTATAAAGGTATATTTTTATTATTATATGTTTGCAATACATGCTGATTTATATTAAACATGGGCAGTTGGTACATGTACATGGCATATTTTCTTTTTATGTCTCTTCCTCCCCTCTCCCTCCCCCTTATACAGATATTAAAAGAAAGTATTGGAGAATATGGAATCTTGGAGATGACCTTAATGAGCCACAGAGGAAAACACTTACCTGGGAAAATGACATAAAAGTTAAAAAGTTGTGTATATTATAAACCCTAAACAAAACTATGTGAGAAAATGAACATAATATAGGAAAATAGCAAGTTTGGTCAGCAGCACTTTAATTCCTTGTTGGTTGGATTATCTATGAACATTCAATTTAGAGACACTGTGGGGATAATGGCCATAACTGTTTGTTTTCCTAGTGGTTGTTTTAAAAAACACATGCAGTGCACCCAGCAGTTTTCCTCCTTAGAAAATCTCATGGATGTAGAGGTTTATGGGTGAGGAAGCCAAGTGTCCATTGATCAGGAGATGAAGCCTTTGCTACTGTGTTCAAAAGAACATAGTCTTTGTATTCATGGTGACATATCACGCTGAACTACATAAATGTATAATTACTGTGTGATTAGAAATTATTTAAAATTTTTTAGAATATTCTACATAAATTATAAAGTATGTCTACAATATATTTTAATTTAAAAACAAAAGTATGATTCCATTTGTATATAAATGTAAATATACTCTAAATATCTGAAAAGTCACATCTCAAACTTTAATTTTAGGTAATTACCTTAGGGATGGAGGACTACAGCTCAGAGGAGGAGTGTGTGCTTAACATTTAGCAGGCTCTTAATTCAGTTCCCAGTAGTGCATGTATGCAGCGCAGTGCACGCACACACACACACACACACACACACACACACACACACACGGCGTTACCCCGAGGAATGGGAAAGAGTCAGGTTAATGGTCACATTTTTCTTTTGCAGTTTTTCCCTTTTTCGCACAGTAAACATGCATAGTTTTATTTTACTTACTATTTATGATAGAAATGAATTTTGTTTATACTTCAGATGTTATAAGCAAAATGTGTTCTGTGAAAAAGTTTTCTAAATTCTCTAATATTCTTGAACTCAGGCCCTTGCACTTGCCAGGGAAGTGCTTATTCCACTGAGCCATCTCCCTGGCCCCTCTAATATTCTTTTAATTTTTCTATCAAAAGCTTCAAAAATCACTCTTTTAAAAGTGAAGCTACCTCATTTCTTTCTTTCTCTTTTTTTTTTTTTGGCAGAACCGGGAATTGAACTCAGACCCTTGCGCTGGCCAGGGAAGCGTTTATTCCACTGAACCATCTCTCTGGCTCCCTAAGCTGCCTCATTTCTAATTCCTTTCTGCTTGCATCTTTCCTTGAGTCTGTAACCTGTAGCTTTCCCTCACTACTGCATCCTTGCAATCTGCTGTCTTGTACCATGAGACTTCTTAGATAAGTGTCAGTGATCTAAATATTTTTATATTATTTTAAGCATCCACATTTATGGGAACATTAGGAATAGTCATATTTTTTAGCTAATACATCTGTATTTTTATTGATCTTGTATTCACTTTAAGTGCAGGTCTACTGGTTATACCATTTCTGGTAATGCAAAGAAGCAATTTCATGTTTCATATGATTTCCTGAGGCATTGTAGAGAGTCTTTGTTTTTTATTTGTTGGTTTTTTTGGTACTGGGAATCAGACTGAGGACCTTGTACTTGCCAGACAGGTAGTATGCCACTGAGCTATATACCTAGCCCTGTTCGGCTTTTTGAGGCATGCTCTCACTACATAAGGTACGCTGGCTTTGAACTTGGTTTTATAACCCAGCCCAGCCTTTAACTTATGCCAGTCCTCCTGCTTCAGCCTCCCAAATGCTAGGATAACAGGTGTGTACCACCATACCCAGCTAGAGAGTCTTAATGCATTATGCATTTTTAGAAAAAACTTGTGTCGCTGATTTTATTAATGTACACATAACACTTACTTTAGTATGAGATAATTCAGTGATGTTAATAGTTTCCTTAGGAATCAGCTCTAAAACTTTAGAGCAGAACTTGTGACGATACAAATATTCTGTATCACCTTTGTATAGAACAGTAGCCAGTAAACTTGAGTTGTGTTGACAATTTGATGTGTGAATAGTGTGAGGAAAGAGCTGAATTATTTCACACAATTTTAATTGAATTTGAAATAATCACATATGACTATTGGGTATGTACGGGAAAGAACAGGTTGAAAAAATATCCTTTGAAATTTTTCTCTGCTCTTTGTGAGGAAGGATTATGTGCATGTCTCTGAATTTTCTAGCAGCCTTAGTAACATAAAACTTTTACTGTTTTGTAATCTACCATAGTTACAAAAACTATAACTAATACAATAATGATAGTCTTTTCTTTACAATGTTTTCTAGGATGGTTAAAAATATAGTGATTCTAGATAGATAATCTTATAATCATAAAAGACTCTATCATTCATTTTTTTTGCATACTTTTTTTCAGAGATGGAAAATAATGTCCTGCAAGATGAGGATTGAACAACTGAAACAAACAATATGTAAAGGAAACGAAGAAATGAAGAAAAGTAAGTAATTTGTCTCCCTCACTCTGGCCCTAATAAAGGGTTTTTGTGGAATTTCCTGGCATTGAAACACTTGAGGCCACTTTAAGAGAGGAAAAGTGGGACCAAATGGAAAGGGTTATGATAAGCTAAGCAACTTGTATCGAAATGCTTGGAACTGGGGTGTAGCAGATTTTGGATTTTGGAATATTTGCATGTACTTTAATGATATATAGGAGCCATGTCTATAATCAGAATTCATTTTTGTTTTGTATGCATAGTCTAGAGGTCATCGTATGTAATAGTTTTCCAGTGTCTATACTTTGTGTCCTGTTACATGAAGTCAAGTGTGGAATTTTTCACTTTTGACATGATTTTGATGCTTAGGACATTGGATTTTTAAAAAAATTTTAAATTTTTCTTTTTTTTGTGTGGAACCAAGACTTATTCAACTGAGCTATCAAGTGCTTATTCAACTGAGTTATCTCCCTGACCCCCTGGAAGTTGGATTTTTGGGCATTTTGGATTTCAAATTATCTTATCAGTGATGGTCAATCTGGACTTGCCTTGCTTTCTACTTGAAAACATTTATATATAAAGAATTATATCAGCATAAGATTATAGATGCCTTCAGTCTGATCCCCAGCATTACCAAACAAAACTGTTGGGAACTATTTGCTGTCCTTTGGCTTAGCTAACAGGAAGTGCAGAGTCCAACTTGGTATACTAGGTAAACTCAAAGTAATCACCAATTTTTGCCAGCAACACAGAATACTGGTTTTCTCCCTTATTGAATCTTTTGAATATTTTAATCTGTACTGGTTTTGTATTACATTTGAACACTTTATACTGTCTCATAGGTCATTGTCAAAATTTGAGTCCTCTTAGAAATCTTATCTCTAAGGATGTAAGCATGTATTTCTGAAGACAGTGTTAAGATTTTGAATGAGTTACCTTTGTGCCTCATGAATCCCCCCCACGCCTTTTTTTTTTTTTGTGGTACCAGGGATTGAACTCAGGACCTTGCACTTGCCAGGCAAGTGCTTATTCTAATGGGATATCTCCCCAGCCCGTGAATCCCTTTCTTGTCTTCAGATGCAGTGGAATGTTAATCAGAGCTTCCGCTGACAGTGTTTGTGCTCAGGAAGTCCTTGAGTAGAGTTGCTTTGGATGAAAAGCTAGTGAAGCAGGACAGCATAGTGCATAGGTGCTCAGCACTGCAAGCAACCTGTGCTCTCTAGCTCTGCTTGTCTTCTCCAAGGGCTTGGGTTCAGAGCAGGATAGTGTTTTCCTAGTTTTAATGTTGGTTTCATCCTCCTTCCCCATCCTCCTTTGATGTTCAGACCAGGCTTTGCACCAGGCAACTGTGAAATGTGTTCAAGTCCAGAAGGTACAGAGCATGCATGTAGCGGTGATGAACAAGCTTCAAGCTCCAGCCAGTTCTTTTATTTACAGGTTTCTAACCCCCAAAGCAAAACTTCCAACCACATAAAAATTATGGACGCTGCTACAAGGTGGCTTACACCTATAACTTGAGCACTGTAGGAGGCTGAGACAGGAGGATCACAAATTCAAGCCCAAATTGACAGCTTGGCCAGACCTACCCAAGTCTCTCTCCCCTCTTTTCTCTTCTGTTTTCTTTGATTCACGGTCTCACTATGAATTCTACAGTGACTTTGAGCTCACTGTGTAGCCTAACCTGGCTTTGAATTCATGATGATCCTCCTGCCTCAACTTCCCAAATGCTAGGATTAGAGATATGTGCCACAACACCTGGCTGGACCATATCTTTAAAACACAAAAACTCAGTGTGAAGGCCTTGGGTTGAATCCTCAGTAACAAGCTTCCTCCACCTCCTGCCCCGCCCCCCCCCAAAACATGACCTTACAGCAGCAGACTGTAACAGATTTCTATCCCTAGTAAGTCATCAGTGACTTGATGACCTTGTTAAGGTCAAATATAAGGGTGAGGTGTGGAAGCTGGCTTATAATGTACCATTGGAAATTTTTCTGGAAAAGCCTTGAACTTGGTTTTTAATTTAAGTAGGCCATTCTTGGGTTTCTGTCAGAGTATGCAATGTGTTGTTACTCCAGTGAAGCAAAAGCTTCAGCCCTGTGGCCCTTGCAGGTCTTAGGATCCAGAACCTGAAAGAGCTCAACAAATGGGACCTAGATCTGGCGGGTTGCAAGTGTACCCGCCTCCTGTGGTGTGGATGGGCTTCTATTTTCCCTGCAGTGCTCTTATGTGTGCTTGTGTTTGAACAGCTGTGCACATACTGCTCCACCTTTGCCAGCACTGTTCTAGCTTCAGGGCTCTGTGGTTGTTCTCTTGTCTGTTCCCTAGTGTGGCATGATTCCTGGGTCCCTGAGACTAACAAAATTCAGATCACTAGTTTTTCAAACTGGAGCTCTACCCAACATGGTCGTTCTTAGGTGAAAGTCAGTTGCTTTTTGTCCTAACCCCAGTCCTGGTCATCACTGAGTGACTCATTCCAGTAATGATTAGTACAAATGGAGATTCATGGTCTTGTTAGCAGTGATCTCTGCTTTATGTGTAACATCATTTTGAACTAAATTCTTGGGATCTTCATGTTATGAACAGTAGTGGATTCTATGGAGGTTTTGCTTTCAGGTTAAATTGCAAAGGAAACAGGTAATGTTTATGGGGTGTGGCTCTACATTACATGGCAACTATTTGCAGAGGTTAATTGTTGGGTGTGATTTATATATCTTAGATTCAGAAGGACTTCTCAGAACCAGGGAAAAGAACCAGAAGCTTCACAGTCGAGCACAACGGCATCAAGAGAAAAAGGAGAAGATTCAGAGACACAATCGCAAACTTAGTGACCTGGTAGAAAAGAAAACTCTTGACTTACGAAGTCATTATGAGCGCCTTGCAGACCTCAGGCGATCCCACATACTAGAGCTCACCTCTGTCATATTCCCAATTGAGGAATTAAAGACTGTTGTAAGGTACAGTACTAAAGGTTTTTGACTTTAGGTGTGTCACTAATACTTACTGGGCCTCACCTTAGTGTTACTGGTTATCCTGGTCATAAAACTTAAATCTTACCTGTTTAGCAAACAGTGAATACTGCACAGTGTGAGCAAGGGGGCAGGGCCCTTGTCTGCTGTCCCCAAGCTTCCAGGTGACAATACTTAGTCACACCCCTGGTTTGTAGCCATGTGGTGGCTTTTGTTGGTTAAGTTCTTAGCTAGGTTATTAGTTGTGTGCTGTGAGGCACATTCTTTAACCTCAGTCTATTTCATCATCTGTTAAATGGGAATTGAAAAGTACTACCTCCTTCACTGTGAAATCATGAGCTAATATGGCAGAAACACCTAGTATTTGGGATCTCATGGTTGGTGGGCAACACATGTTGTCCTACCCTTTTCTTGGTAAATGGATTGACTGCTACTGTTAAGACTGACCTCCTACCCCTGCCTCAACCTGTGCACACTGGAGACTGAACCAAGGACTTTCATACTGAACTACAGTTCCCATCCTTTTTTTTTTTTTGAGAGTCTTGCTAAGTCATGAAATTACCCAGGCTGGACTGACTTGAATTTGGATCCTCCTGTCTTAGCCTCTCAGAGTGCTGGGATGATAGACGTATGCTAACATGCACAGTTGGTAATATTCTGTTATCCGTGGATTTAAAATTACCACCAAGGGCTTTCATGCTGTCATACGCACCAGGCTGTTGGAGTGTAGAGTGTTTGGTCTCTCCTGGCTTTCTCCTTTCTAGCCCTTCAGCTGGATATGATGGTGGACTCCTGCTAGGTTTGCTTGTACTTCAGTGTGGCTTTTTGTCTTTTTCTATAATTGGCTGCCTAAAACTAAATGTTCTGAGACCCTGAACACGCTATAGACCCTTCCCTAAATTACAAAAAACTAAATGTTCTGATTTTATGCTTTTGCCTTAAAAGTGTGCTGACTTTTTTCTTGTTAGGTAGTTTGCCATTAGCAAGAATTAGCAAATATAAAAGCAAACAAAAAGGTGAGATTTAAAATACAGCAGAATAGAAAGTTTTAAAGGGACATTTTGAATCATTGGAGAAAAGTTGGTTATTCAAAAATTGGTGTCGGGGCCAGGGAGATAGCTCAGGAAGATAAGTGCTTGCCCAGGAAGTGCAAGAGCCTGAGTTCAATCCCTGGTTTTGGGGGGGAAAAAAATTGGTGCAGACAGCTGATCAGGCCTTTGAGAGCTGAAAGGTCTCCATTTTGGCTGTGTCTGACCCTATTTCCATGTATTGATAGGTACAGAGCTGGCTTTTCCTTGTCCCTTTACTTGGCTTTAAGCAGTGCATATTGTTCTAGCCAAGGTGATGGTGGTAGTCTTTGAAGACAGTGTGCCTGTTTACCTGATAACCCACACCTGCTGCTCTTTAATATGAGCCAGGTGAGACAGGATGAAGAGCCAGTGCGCCACACTGTTGGCTGGGATGGAGCCTTGAGATAGAGGCTATGACTTCTCGGGGCTTGAAAGATTATGCGTCAGAGCTGAAGCATCGGACCGCAAAACATTAGATACTGTCTCAGTTGTGTAATGCAGATTAGTCTCTGCATATCCTCCTTTCTACATATCACAGAGGTAAATGCAGGCCTCCTACCTAGCCCTGCTCACAGTGCTCACTTACTTCCTGCAAGTCTCAGTCATTCATCCTCAAGCCATTCCTCCTTTTTTTTAAAAAAAATAATTTTATTCAGAAACAAATAGCAGTTAAGAATATATGCAGTGTATTATTTGTTGAAACTGTACTTCTGATTTGATTTGAAACTGTCTCATTGCTATCTGTTTATCAATAACACTT